GGTAGAAGTTACACAAGGTAGAGATTAAGCGAGAAGTTGTAAACAGAGGAGTTTAGCTTTGAACTAATACTATCATAGTGAATTTTCTTTCTGGCTCGGTAGCCCCTAGATATAGGTGAGTTGCACAGAACTGGGTTAACAACTACTGGTGTTATTTTACTTTTATGTCATTTAAATTTATGCCTTTTTACTTGTGTGTTCAAGTTGTTTTGATCCCAGTGTTGTGACATTTGTCTCGACATCTGGTATTTGCGTGCCAGAATTACAGCAATGTTAAGTTAATTTAAAGTTTCATCACAATTCAGTTCAACATAAAATAGTTGAAATAACCCAAAATAATGAGTTAAGATCATCAGTAAAGGCTTCAATGGAACTCTCTGTAACAGGTCTCTCACTCAATAAAGAAAACCAAAAATAATTTTTAAAAAAACTCTTTTGTCCTACCGAATTTTTAAAAAATCCAGCCACACCCCTACGCATACCTAACTTTTTGAAATATTCAGTAACAAAAGATTATAACCTTATCGACAATTTTAAAATATTTGGTATGCAGTATGGTTTTTTACATGCGATTTTACAAAATCAGATAAAAACCTATATTCTTATATCGAATTATTTGAAAAATGCAATAAAAATGTATCAAAAATGCAATAAAAACGTATAGTTTTATATCGGATATTCCTAAAAATCTGGTATAACCCCCATATATTTGATACTGACAATTTAAAAATTCGGTAAAAATGCATTGATTATGTGAAAATTCAGATATTTTAAGAAAATATTCATTAAAAACACATAAATTGAATATAAAATATTACTTAATTGTAAAAATCCGGTATTTTTTTACCAAATCTCTAAGCTAAAATGTTGTTTTTTTTAAAATATATTGATTTTAATGATTTAGAAGTATTATGGTAAAGTTGATGGGTATGTGAGAGTGCCAAGTATAGGAGGGAAGATGATAGGTAGATTTTTCTCTTAATTGGTTGGGCCTTTTCAATTTTATTAACATCAAATTGAATATCAAAAGATAAGGCCGAATCAATTTTTACGTTAGCCCCATGTTCAAGTGCATGGGTGATTTCATGCACGAAAATATTGTGGACTAAATGTAAGTGTATTTTTTTCCCTTTTAATTTTGGGTGGTGTTCACTGCATCCATGTAGTGATCACACACCCTATAAAAATCCAAAAATGTCTTTTGCAACATCCAAGATTGAAATTTAAACGCACTTATTGTATAACAAATCACTTCATAAAAGAGGGACACCCATATTTTTGCTAAAAATATGTTTGGATTCAAATCTTCGGATAAGTGTGTATATGTCTTTCATTGTATAAATTCAAACAAATCCCTAGACAATTGTTTACTCTTGCTTAGGTGTTTATTTCATAGCACTCGTGTTCTTTCTTTGTCTCATATACTTCAACACATGGCATGCCTTTTGCTAAGATTTTCTATAGACTGACCATCTGAGGAGTATCTTCTTGAAACTCTCCTCTAGCTATGGTCTTTCTCCCAATAGTCACAATACATGGACATATAGACAATACATCCACGACACGGTCTGCCTTTGTCTGTTTTTTTTTCTAATATCCCCTGATGAGCTGGCCTTTATAAAATCATTTAATGTAATCGTATATCGTACTTCATGAAAAAGAAGTACGACAGTGAGCAACAACAGTGAGATCTTTAGGTATACCCTACAAATACCCGAACTGCTATACTACTCACTCTGTAAGGTAAATCCGAACTTTTTTAATACTTTTTTCGTTTGGTGCTAAGATGGATTGAGAGACTATGTTGGGGTGCGCTTGGATTCCAAAATTCAGATCTTTTTTAATCTTTAATTTTACTTGTTTTAAAAAAATTATTGTGTATTTAGCATTAAAATTTTAAAGATATTTTTAAATTTTTGCGAAATATAAAAGAAAAAAATTCAGATCTTTTTTAGTTTTTAATTTTATTTGTTTTAGAAAAATTATTTTAGTATTTAGCGCGTCCAAATTTTAAAGATATTTTTAAAATTTTGCTAAATATAAAAAAGAAAAAAATCTTTTAATTTTACATGTTTTAGAAAAATTATTTTAGTATTTAGCGCGTTCAAATTTTAAAGATATTTTTAATATTTTGCTAAATATAAAAAAGAAAAAAATCTTAATGCATTTTTTATTGATTAATATAATAATTAATTGTTTTAATGATTTATTTTAGAAATTAATAATTAATAAATTAACAATATCACTTAAACTTAAACCCATATACTTGCCAACATTACACAATGCACCAAAGTTGATACTTGCCTATGCATAACTGACATTTATAAACATTAAATATTGCATAACTGACATTTATAAAAATTAAATATAGTCCTGCACCATTCTATTGGTTCCACCTTATCAGTATGTTCTTCAAAACTTTTTTAGTCCTAAAAGATTTTGTATAACAGAATGGGTTAGTTTAATTTTAATCAAGAAAACATCATAATCTCAAAGATTTATCAACCAATCTTTTGGAGGATAGTATTGTAAAATAACAAAGATTTATCAAAAAACTTGTAGGATAGTACTCAATGATGATCCAACCAACCAATCTTTTGGAGGATAGTACTGTAAAATAACAAAGATTTATCAAGAAATTTGTTTCCATAGCAAGAACTTCAGGTAAACAACATACATCTCCACTGAGAAGTTATTGACATAAATAACAAGATGAGGTACCTTGATGCAATATTAACGACATAATCACTGGTATGAATTTTATCTTGATAGTGAAACTTAGTCTCACAAACCGCTGAAAGCTTCCTGAACAGGTGAAATTGCATTAGACTCCCACTAAAACCAGACGCACAAACAGAAAACTAAAGAGGAGAAAAATTGGTTCCTTTAAGTTGATATGCTTACTGGTTCCTGATAGTATATATGCTAATTGGTTCCTTTAAGTTTGGACCCTTTAGTCCAAATACTTCTTTTTAAAACTTGCACTAATTAATATTGATTAATAAAATAATATTAATTAATAAATTATCCATGTCAGCAATGCCACATCTTTAAAAATAAAGTTGAGAGACCGAACAGTTAAGCTTTCCGAAAAGTTGAGACTAAAACGTTAATATCACGTAATAAAGTTGAAGGACAGAAGAGTTAAGCTTTATAATAAAGAGACTAAAACATAAAATCACATAAACAGGAGATAAAGAAAATACAAATTTTAACAATCAAAAAGGAATGAACTGCAAATCATGCAAATCATACTTTTTGTTCTGTTGTGAATCAAATACCTTCAAACAAAGTATAAATGGTTTCTTAATGATCAAGAAACACACAAGGGTTAAGGTTAACAAAGAAAACAAGGTAAAACAACAAGGAACAATAATGATTGGTTATTAAACTGTTATTCTTTCCTTTCTCTTAAAACAAGATTACAAGTATACAAGAATAACAAAATAACCTCTCTCCCTTGAAATTAGGATTTTATCTTCCTATTTTTTCCTTATTCCAAGATTGAGAAACTAGCATCCTATTTATAATAAAATAGCACACTAACCTAATGGTTTTTTTTAACAATTACCCATTACAAGCCAACTTAGGGTACAAGCTAACTTAAACAATTGGGCTTACAAGCAAGACCCAATTCAACATGCTAACAACCCTAACAATATTGACTAATGCATGTTAGAATAGACTTCGACTATAACATGCATTACTCGCGAACAGACTTCGACCATACTAGAGTTCGATCCAACATCCAACAAATCTCCACCTTGGATCTAACTCTATAACATCAAGAAACTAGCTTTCTTCAGCTTTCTTCATGCAGCTTTATTAACTGCATACAGTGGAAAAACTTGCAACTGGGCAACGTCTTTTCTTTTTCCGTTAACGCAGCGTCCTTGGCTGCCTCACCCTTCAACGCTTCCAAACAACCCTGCTGAACCAACAGGGCTTTCATCTTCAAGCGCCACAGACCGAAGTCGTTCATTCCGGTGAACTTTTCAATCTCATACTTTGTTGAAGGCATCTTCTCCACGCTCACCGCACCAATTTGTTGTGAATCGAATACCTTTAAACAAAGTATAAACGGTTTCTTAATGATCAAGAAACTCACAAAGGTTAGGGTTAACAAAGAAAACAAGGTAAAACAACAAGGAACAACAAGGATTGGTTATTAAACTGATATTCTTTCCTTTCTCTTAGAACAAGATTACAAGTATACAAGAATAACAAAATAACCTCTCTCCCTTGAAATTAGGATTTTATCTTCCTATTTTTTTTCTTATTTCAAGATTGAGAAACTAACATCCTATTTATAATAAAATAGCACACTAACCTAATGGGCTTTTTAACAATTATTCATTACAAGCCAATTTAGGGTACAAGTTAACTTAAACAATTGGGCTTACAAGCAAGGCCCAATTCAACATGCTAACAACCCTAGCAATATTGACTAATGCATGTTAGAACAGACTTCGACTATAACATGCATTACTCGCGAACAGACTTCAACCATACTAGAGTTCGATCCAACATCCCACATGTTCGATTCAAAAACTCTAATCCTTTGGTCACAAAATAAGACACAATCTTCAGCTTTTATTTTTAAAATTTAAAATTGTCAGGTTTATGCTTTTTGTAAAAAAAAAGTTATGGTTTTCAACCCTCTAAAACTTGAAATTAGTCTTTGATTCATAACACACATTGTAATGTAGCTAAATAGAATTCATATTAGGTCTCGAAATGACACCACAATATGCTATGCATGCCATTTGAAATATATATAAATTATGACAGATGCAATTAACCCATACACATTCACATAAATTATGCTCCCAATTATCTGAGCATTAGAAAGCAATATCAGATGACTACATATGGTAAAGTGTTGGTTTACATTATCAACCACAATCATAGAAGGAAAGCAAGAAACGTCCGATCATTTAAACCCAACAACACTTAAGTGCTCAATGTCATTGAAACTCAGCTTCATTCTTATTCAGTAGTCAGTTCTTTCTTCCTTCAGATAAGATAATATGGTAGCCATGCCTGCATTATCATCCAACCAAGTGTTAAATAAATAGACTTCGGTTTAGATAAACAACTTAATTAAACGCTTATAACATAAATGTTGATCATTCGTATAAGTTATTTCTATAACAAAAAATAAAATACGTGGGTTAAACTATTTTTATAAATCACAAGTTGTTTGTATAAGTTCTCCATTAGAAGTGGCAATTGGATCCATTAAGGCAAAATCCATCCGATTCATCTATCAAAAAATCCATTCAATCCATCCACAACATAAAAAATAAGTTAATGGATTTGATTAAATACATCCATTTATATGCATAGATGGAAACGATCAATCCAACATATTTTAAGGATCCAATGTATTATCTTTATTTTCGTTAGATTTATTTTTTTTTAAATAATTAAAAATAGATTTTTTTTAAAAGAAAAGAATTGATTTTTTTTCTAATAAAAAAATCAGAATTTTTCCCAAAAAAAAATCGAATTTTTTTTGATAAAAAAACGACTTTTTTCTGAAAAAAATGATTTTTTTTTGAAAAAAAATTTTGGTTTTTTTTTCCGAAAAAAAGATCTGTTTTTTTTTCCAAAATATAAAACTGATTTGTTTTTCGAAAAAAAAAATCGATTTTTTTTCCGAAACAAAAAACCAATTTTTTTTTATAAAAAAAAATTGATATTTTTCAAAAATTAAAATATCAATTATTTTTCTGGAAAATACAAAAATTTCAATTTTTTTCATGAATATATTCAAAAACAATTTTTTTAAATACAATAAATGAATTTTTAGAAAATTAAATTAAATTAATTTTTAAAAAGAGAAAAATACATTTAATTTTTTAAAATAAAAAAAAAGTTGGATATATATATATATATATATATATATATATATATATATATATATATATATATATATATACATACATATATATATATATATATATATATATATATATATATATATATACATATATATATATATATATATATATATATATATATAGACATACATACATACATACTCGTACGTACATACATATAGACATACATACACGTACATATGTATATATATATATATATATATATATATATATATATATATATATATATATATATATATATATATATATATATATATAAAACAATTTAATGGGTGCAAAAGCAATACGTTGATTTGAAAGGAGCACTAGTAGCTCCAACAGGTGTGTTGAAGGCAACTTCCTGAAATGGGCCAGCCATCTTTCCTCGTGGAAACCATCCAAGGTCTCCACCCTTCTTTCCTGATGGACATTCAGAATATTCTTGTGCTACCTGTGAGGTCGTTGGTGAATTATTATCAGTCGCAAACAATTGAAAAGACAAATATTTATATCTCAAGATTAAATTCGATTCTTATTTATCATTCCATCCAACAAACCGACATACATTTTCTTCTCTCCAGAAAAAGACCATGATTTCCTACCGTAAGGGTTGTGTGTATATATACCTTTGCAAACTCTGCCGGAGGAACCTTATCTCCATTGCTAAGCCAACCATCCTGCAGCTTCTTGTAGGCTTCGTTAATCTTACCTTGTTTCTCACATAAGACATGTCTTGCTGTGTTAAGGAAAAATCCAGATAAAAATATCATTTCAAGACAAGTAGAATGATAGAAACTGATCATATAAGGTCACAACGGTGCTTGAGAATAGTGAAAATTTTCTACCTTTGACATAGGTGCAAGTACCAAGCCCATCTGCAGCTTTCCCACCTTTTCCTTTTCCCTTGGAAGCATTCTCATCACTTCCACTTGCAGCCTGCTTTCCCTTACCCTTCCCTCCCGCCTTTGCATCTTTTCCCATCGTTCCAGCAACTCTTCATCATTTCAACCAAAAAAGTCAACAACTATTATTGAATTACAACGATCACAGTGTAGATGCCATAGCAAATAAAACTAAGAAATTCCGATAGAATTGCAAACTACAATTTTATCATCTTCTGTGCAAACTCAAACTACCTTTTTTTTAGTGACAAAATAATATATTAATATAGGTGAGAACCACCACGGTACAAAAACAAGGCATCACTTAGCATAAGTGCTGAAAGGACTACCAAGAAACAAAAAAGTACAAATGAAAGACTTAAACAAACAAAAAACAATAAAAACATCGAATCAAGTTTTTCAAAAACCAGAACTACCATCAATATATCAAAAACCACCAAGAGAGCAACAAAACCATAAACCAATACCAACCTCAGAACCAAGGCAAACTACTTACTATTTTGTGTTTCCATCAATATATCAAAAACACCAGAACTACCATCAACATATCAAAAACCACCAAGAGAGCAACAAAACCATAAACCAATACCAACCTCAGAACCAAGGCAAACTACTTACTATTTTGTGTTTCCATCCCAAGTTGGTTATGATGCTGTCTATCACACATCAGGTTACAAGGGAGATTGTTAGAGGATCAATTTCAGTTAGAGTCAGTTGGCTAGTTTAATCGAGCATAAAATATCCATAGTGTTAAACAAGTTCTTTAGTTTTGGCTCTCATCCTTGTTCTATTTCGATACCTAGCAAAAGATATTGACATCGACCTTCCGATATCCACAGAAATATAGCTCAACAAAACAAGTTCATAGACTCATTAACATAAATTGATAAATGAGCTACACACAAATTCATGGCTTCAAGTTGCTTAATTGAAATGACTAGCAATTTCTATCAAGCTTTCATACACATACTCAATTACACACTAACATTACACCTGGAGAATGTGAAATCAATAACCTGTATAAGCCAAACAATCAATCAAATAAAGGGCAATAATATAAGCCTAGAAATTGAAATTCATGTTGGGTTTCAGAAAGTGGTAAAATTCTACATTAGAGTATAGCTGAAAAACCCAAAAAATTGAAATCGCAGTTCTTTCGCACAGCAGAAGCAATTAAAAAGCGCACTTAAAAGGGAAAATGGCGAATTGGAACTAATACATAAATAAAAAACAAGCTTTTTTTCACCTTTCAGCAGAAAGCAATAGAAAATTTGGAGACTTTGGAAATCCAGGAAGCACAATCAACGATGATTCACGCGACTCACTCACACCAGTGGAGACTCAGAATCACATTCGATTTCGTGTTTACGCTTTTCTCTTGAGTTACAAATAGATCTATTTGGCTCAATTTGTAAAATTAAGGCCCAATAGAAAATACGACATTTTATTAGGGAATCTTCATACCCCTCCCGGATTGTCTCTATGTAATTCAATGTTTTAAAAATCAAATTGGAAATTGAAACGATGAAATTTATGGTTTTTGATTAAATTTATAGTTAGAATCGTTTATTAAATAAATTAATAATATAAAACTAAATTTTATATATATATATATATATATATATATATATATATATATATATATATATATATATATATATATATATATATATATATATATATATATATATATATATATATATGACATTATTATATTATATGTATTCAACTTAATAAAATAAATATTTATCCATTACAAATTTAATACAAATCTGTCAATAATACTTAACATAATACAGTTTTACATTTCATTTCAACTATCATTTAAAAATATTTTGACCAAACTAAAGAATTACAATAAAATAAATTAAACTAATTCAAACAAAATTAAAATAATAAAAATTTAATAAATAAAATAAAGTTTAAATAATTAAAAATACCTATTAAATAAGATAGAATACCAAAATATATATAATACAATATACTTCATTAAACAACAAAAAATAGAATTTAAATTAAACTATGACAAACAAGTTTTAATTGACAACAACAAACAATTTTGACTTGAACGACAATTAATAGAGTTAAATATCGTGACTATATTTGAAAGAGACGGCATGATAATGGTGAAGTGTGGTTGAAAGAAAAACTATAATATAGTGACCAAACTTAAAGGTTTGTATGGTTGTAAAAAATACACAAAATTCTTTTTTCTGATTGAGGAATGTATGTTAAGTTTTGATATTAACATATTAAAAAAAAAATTATTAAAAAAATGGTCAATTTGATGAATTTTTTTGAACTAGTCGGTTTTACAAAACAGGTTCCGGTTCTTTGGTTCGAATGATTTTGGACGGCTCAATTCGGTTTTATCGGTTTAACTCCGGTTTTGACCCACTAGCGATTTTGAAAGGTTGATCCAATTGGATTCATCTCTGATTCCCGGCCCAACCGGTTAAACCGGCCGGTTCAGTCCGATGTTTAAAACATTGTTGTCATCCTTGAAGGGGTGAAAACGCATTTGCCCTTGTTATAAAATATCGGTATTTTAAAAAAATTTAGTAAATTTTGGATTTTTCATTTGTAAAACTTCTCGTTGGAATGTAGAATTAACGGATTTATTGCAAAATTACTGGATATTTTGTAAAAAATACAGAAATATTGAACATTTACAAAATTGTCGATAAAAGTTTAAGATTTTCTAAAAAATTATGAAGAATTATCGAATTTTTGAAAAATTCAAAAAGAAGTTATCAAATATTTAGAAAAATCTAGAAATAAATCAAACCTACCAGATTTTTTCAAAAATCTAGTATGCACTAAAAATTTTGAAAATTTGAAAAGTCTAGTAGGCAGTACTGAAATTTTAAAAAAAATTGATTTTTTTAACAAAGTTAAGTGGATAAAATATATACATATAATAAATTTTATCCTTTCTAACTCCTTTTCAATGTGTTATATACATTGTCTTGAAACGAAGTTGTACAATCTAGAGTAAAATGAAGTGTTATACCGATGCTCAACGTTGTCGCTACTGCGAAAATCGAGGCCGGCAATGACAGAAGAGTCGCCACCGTGCGTTATTTATCCCAAGAGAAGGAAAGGAAACGCTCAGAGAAAACCTGACAAAAAGAGGGATAAGATCGGTCATCGCGACCAAATCTCAGGTTCGAGAGTCGGTTACGCAAGGGGAAGGTATTAGCACCCCTCACGTCCGTCGTACTCAATGGGATCCACTCTTGTTGTCTATCTAAAAGGGTGATTGAAACTATCTAGCTACAGGCTTGAGGACAAAAGAAAAAAGAAGTGACTCGGCAAAGCAATGACGCTTTGTGCCTACGTATCTCATCTGGAATGAGAAGTCAGAGTCAACGTAATTCGGCTAACTACGGGTGTAAGGGGGGAAGGTCACTCGCCAAGACATCGCGTCTTGTGCCTACATACTTTCATCTGGTATGAGAGATCAGAGAAAACGTAGTTCGGGCTGACGGGGAACACAGGTTTGGTTCAACTTGTTTTTTAGGCCCGAGTAGGGTTAACAAATAGTTCTAGCAGTTAGTGTATGCAGCTCGAGCATGGGAGACTTAGGCGTTACCGTTTGCGATAGAACTAAGAGTTAACAACACTCTTTTTCTGAAAAGATTTTCTGATTAAGATCCCGAAGGATGAAAAAGGTTTGAAATGTTTTTGTGTTTTTTAGAGGAGAAATGTTTTTTGAATTGGTTTGCAATTCATATCGTACTATAGACTATGACTTAGGAGCGAATGCGTCACATATCACCCAAAGGGTGTTATACTAAACAATCAAGCCATTGAAAGGAAACCCTTCAACAACCATTTCCCAAGTGGCTTAAGGCTCATAACGTGCAATATTCATTAACCTTTATTAGGTGTTTTATGATTTGTTTTGAGATGAGAAGAGAAAAGACGCACTAAAGGGGGACTAAACCAAACCTAAAGTTGTCATGCAATGGTGATCCTAAGATTGAGGTGAAAGGGAAAAACTAACCTAATGTTATCATGCATAGGATTGAACATCTAATGTCTCTTCTACTCCCATCCTAAACGGAGGGACTAGGAATCCTAGAGGGACCATGGCACAAGGCCAAGTAAACAACGGATAATTCACTCACAAATGAAATGAGAAAGAAAATAAATTAAAAACAAGGAAAATAAAATAACACACTAACATAATAAAAAAGATGATTTTTTGGGATTTTTATATTTTAAAACTAATTTTATTGAATAAAATAAAAGAAACTTAAACAAAACAAAAGATAAAAAGAAAGGGGCTCCAACCATGGGTAGAACCCGTGACCCCAAGGCTGCAGGCCTATCATCTTATCCATCTCTACCATTCATGCACGATTGGAATTAATGGAAAGAGAAAAAGAAAAGATAAAACTTGGAAAAAAACATGAAAAAAAATATAAATCGTCCCCGCTGGGGATCGAACAAATGACAAGGATGCGAAAGGGCAAGGCATTTAACCACTGGGGTGGAGATACATCCGTGTATCAATGCCACCCCATTAAAACAAGTATGAAAACAAGCGCATAAGGCTGGGCAAGGCAAGGCAAGTCTAAGGCACCAAATAACAAAAGGCGTTTTGATCGTAATTCACTCAAATCTCAACCAATTTTGACAAAATTTTAGTCTAACTTGTCTAGAATTTCATGAGGAACACGATGGTGCAGTTAGTTTTCTCAAATTATGCACACATACAAAAATTCGATGGAAGATGCAAGTTATGGTTTGAAATGCGTTTTTAAAGTTAAAGCTCAATTCAATCAGATTTGAAATAGTTTGAAAGCTCACACACATCTTAAACACATCATACATAAGGTTCCTAGCCATTTGGAACTCAGACTCAAGCTAGAACACAAAGTGACCTATTGAGTTGAAATTGTGACAAATGAGTTGTAGTGAAAAGTTTCAAAACAATTTGTAACAGAAACAAAACATCATTCAAATATGTTCCAATAAACACAAAGGCATACACATGAGGTTTAGACATCAGAATGTCTTGAAAACATAGTGGAGGGGAAAATGACCAATGAAACCGCAACATTTATTCAT